TTCTCATTTGGTAGTTAAGCGATCAGAGAGGCCAAGTGACTTACCCATGGCCACACAGCATGAAGATTTAGAGCTCTCATTCAGCCCACAGAACTCTTGGTCTATCCTCAGAACAACGTGGGCCCAGAAGCGAGGCTGTGCTGTGTTGCTTGCCTGGGGAGCGCTTGTGCATCTACAGAGAGCCGCAGACAAGGAGGAAGGAGCCGGGTGGTGATCTTTGAAGACAGCACCATAGCATGGGTAGAAACCAGACTACACATTTGAAGCTCTGCCCTCAGCTCCACTTCTCTCCTGCTGCTGGCTATGAGAAATGGCCAGGAAATCCCCACCTCACGGGCTTACCCAGGGCTGTGAATGGATCCTGTGACACCTAACTGCAGCTGTGCACAACCTTATTACCTGCACGCTTGAACCTTTGCATGGGAACCAACAGCTGAGCTTGTGGGTGCAGCCTCCCACAGCTCCAAATCCCGCCCCCACCCCAGCCCCAGCTGACGCCCACACCACGCCCTGTGGGGCTTTGCAGGCCCAGCTGACAGCCCCACACCCCTTCCAAGAAGGAGGCTTTGTTAAAGCATCAGAAACAAACTTTCCTGTGCACTGTGCTTGCTTCAGAGATGAAAGGGCTGACATGGGGGTGGGCAGAGTCAGGCTAAGCAGCAGCTTCCAGGAGAGAATCAGATATGCTAAGAGTGCGACTCAGGGCCTGGGGACAGACAGGAGGAGGACACTGAGGCCAGAGATCGGAGGTGCCTAGGGTGGCACACACTCTGCCTGAGTACACAGCCCCACGGGTCAGGCTCCATGAGCCACTGTCTGGGGACAGACTGGTTCCAGGTCACCTGCTCTGGGCTCTGCTCCCTTGCAGGTCACTCTGAGAAGCAATGGAGAAGGACCTGCAACCACCAGAGACTCAAAAGGGTACAGGCACAGGTCCTGGGCAGAGACAGAGGATTTGAGTTCAGTAAACAGAGAAGAGCCAGAATGGCAAGGCTAAGAGGCCAGAAAGCGGAGTGGAGTCCACCAAGCCACATCCCCAAGGGCCAGGCTAGACGGTACAGCCCTTGAGGACCCGAGGGCTGAACCTTCCTTTTGTAGGGAAATGGATGCACTTTGAGACCATAATGCTAAACAAAAATAAATCAGGCACAGAAAGTTAACTATACACGCTTTCTCACATGCGAGAAACCCAAATTATAAATAATGCAAAGAGCAAAACAAAAGATGATAGGAAACATAGAGGTAGACCTTTTACAGATGGGAAGGGGTTCTAGGGATGGAGGGAAGGAGGAGTGAAAAACAGAAAGGTCTAAAATGCAATATGCATACACACCAACGCCCCATGATGAGTGTATGCATTATGCATCACAAACATACACTCATAAAAATATTGCTAAAGCCCGCAGAGAGAAAGTCAGCACATGCTCCATGCTGACTTCCTATGCGGCACCCCTGCAGGGCCGGACCACCCTAGAACACCCTAGAACCAGGGTCACATCCCTGAGGTTCATGGGGCCACCTACACTGTGGGTGCAAGGGCTTCTGGTGGTGCCCACATGCTAAACAGTACCCCTTCAAAACACCCCACCTATCAGGGTCGGGGGTCCTAGGAGTTTCCAGAAAGCCCAGCGAACACATTTGTTCTGGAAACTGCCAATCCTGAGAGAGGGTAGCAAGAAACAGATGAACCCCTGGGAGGAAGATGAGGCAGGACTACAGGGAATGGGGGCAGAAGTGCTAGGAGGACAATCGTCCCCATCACAGTGGCCACCACAGAGCCAGCTTGTAGCCTCTGCAGTGGCCAGGACCAGATGTGTGCCCTGCTCAGCCCCTGCAGCCTTGTCCAGGCAGGGCCATGGTCTCACATCTACACGAGGTGCAGTCCCTGAGCCTGTGTGTGCTTCTCCCTCTGACCCTGTGGACCGATTTCCTGTTCTCTTTGCTGTCATCAACAAATCGAGGCTGAAGAAAACGTAGTGACTTGCCTGGTGTCCTACCTGGTAACGTGAAGCAAGGCCCACATCCAAGTCTGAACAGATGTCTGGAATCCAAGTAAAATTCCAGGCAAGAAAGGAGCTGCTGGGAGCCACTGAGGCTGCTAAGCAGGTGGGTGGTGGGAAAGAGGGCCAAGGGCCTTGAGTTTGAAGACAGTGAGGTCGTCAAAGTGCAGGCAGTGGGATATAGAAGGGAGCAGGGGGAGGAAGGCTGGGAGGCCAGATGGCTATAGAGGTGGGCTAGGCTGGGGTGGGAGGCATCAGGAATGAGCTCACAGAATCCTTAACATGCACCCATCTCCCCAGACAGGGGCAGCAGGGGCTCAGGATCAGGCTGTTGCTCCCCCAGGGCAAGGCAAGAGAACCCCTGAGCCTGCCACAGAGTGCCCACCCCTGCCACACGCCAGGCTCCTGCACCCACCACGTTTTTCTTAGCTGATTCCCATGCCAGATTGATGAACAACGTAATAAAGGGGGCAATCACATTATTCCTGAATGCATTTTAATAAAAATCAAATAAAAGCAATTATGTGAATTTCCAAGAGGATCACCTCTCCTCCTTTCCCTGAGGTAGGAAACAGAATGAATTCAGGAAATCATTAAAATCAGAAACCTGAACTGGCTGCCACTGTGGAGCTGGTGGCTGCCACACAAAAGACAGTAGGGAAACCCGGTCCCCAGCAGCACCAGGGGTGGCTCTCTTGAGCTCCCACTGGCAATTCCACCCATGGGTGAGAAAGGGTAATTAAGGGCCGGGAGAGAGTCTTTGAACTAGGTCAACTCTGCCCCACCGGGGGCAACTCCCCAGCTTCTGAGCAGCCTCAGACTCTAGAGGGGGCACAATTCAGTGTGGCAGCTTAGGGCGGTGGGGAGATTACAGGAGACTCAAGAGAGGGCCCCCAAACGAATACAGCTCTCTTCCATGAATGACAATCAGCCTTCAGCCTAACTGGAGACCAAGTGCTAGATGCCTAAGGACAGAGACCCACACTGACCTCCAACATCCCACAAGATGTTGCACTGTGACCTACAGGCCCTTTTGGATGTCTCCTGGGTCATCTTCAAAAGGGTCATCTTCACCTCATGTCTCTGGATTGACCACCTAGCTGGAAAGGTCATCCTCACCTCATACGTCCTTGGGACTGAGGCCACCTAGCTGGAAGGTGATGCCAGGACTGAAATGGAGGCTCTCCTGGGGTACAAGATGCCCTGCTGCTGGGGTGGGATGGGGTGGGGTGCTGGACACCACACACCTTAGCCAATGTGGTGCTTCTAAGAATGAGCCCGGCATTGACCACCCCAACCACTATTTCTGGCCTTGGTCTGAGCCAGAATCACCATCTACAGCAACATAAAGCGTCCATCCTCTCTGTACACAGGTTAGAGACTCAGCTTCATAGAGGCAAAATGACCTGTCCACAATCTGCAGCTAGAATGAGATCCCTGGGTTCTGTCCACTGTCTGAGTCTACAGCTAGAGACCACACTTTCCAAGTTGCACGGCCAGCCTCATTCTGAAGAGGCCTTACTGAGCTTCTGCGTGGTGTCCAGGTGCTGGGCAGATAGATGGGGAATCTTCCGTCTCTCTGTTCACACTGGATAGTATCCCACATCACTGCCACCTGAAGGGCAGAAGGAAGAAGGAGCGCCTTGCTACACCTAAATTCATCCCCTCCAGCTGTCAGGTCCTGATCTGAGGTTGGGGGTCAGAGGAATAAGAAGGCCAGCAGCCATAGGACTCTTTTGGGGGCAGCTCCACTCAGATCCCAACTGCCCTGAACCCCTACTGCTCCCTGGTGCCCTCTTACAGCTGCTGAGGGGAACGTCCTCCAGGTGCAGTTTGAAGAAAGGGCCTGAGAGAGGATTTGGGTCTCACTGACCCATCCCTACTGCTGGCTCCACAGCTTCCTCTCTGGCCTCAGGACCTCAGGGTCCTCCTCTAAGAAATGGAGGCAGTGGCACTTGACAGCAGAGATGCTGGGATGGGGAGATGGAGTGTGAGGGCTCTCCAAGGTCCTCTGCCCTAACCCTCCAAGGCTTGCACTCAGCAGGCACCCCAAAAGTCTACTGTGTGATCCCCATAGAGAAAACAAACCTCTCTGGGAAAGGGAGCCAAAAACAGAGGAAGGAAGTGCCCATGCACACTCCACAGGGCCAGTGGGTGTGGAGCGATGCTCTGCACTCATGAGTATGAGCATGTATATAAATGTGTGCATTGCCACAGTCACACACACTCACAGGCACTTGCACTGAACAACTTGCACAAGTGTCTTGCATTCACACATCAACACAGCAGATGGGTAAAGGGTGAACCTGGCACTGCCCGAGCTTGGGTTTTGTTCTGGTCCTCTGCAAACACCAGCTATGGCTCTGAAGCTCTGCTGCACCTGGGATCGTACTGGCTCCTAGTACCACAGCCCTGGGACAAGAGCTGAGAGAAGGATGCCCTAGGACTACAGCAGATCCAACAGGGGAAGCCTCCCCAAAATGAACCCTCAGGACTGCTGCTGGAAAGGGTCTATTCCAGAGCAGCCCAGGTGAGAACCGCTCTCAGGTGGCTACCTGAGAGCCACCTTATGCAAATTCTCAGTCATCTGCCTTGCTCAGGGACAGCCCAGTTGTCCTGCTCCTACTGGCTGTGTCAGGAAGAAGTGACCTGTTTCAGAGCAATAGCTAGAGCAAGAAAGCCAAGCAGGGTATCGAGTGTCAGTGAAGGGAAGGGGCACATGGGGCTGGGGTGCAGGTTGATCCTCACATTCTCCCTCTGTCCTTTTAGAGAAGGCACTTCCAGGAATGCAGAACAGACACAAGGTCTCAAAAAGGTAGCCACACCTGTGCTGAAACTATTGTAAAAAAAGAGAGCAATTTAACAAAATTTGGGTAGAGGTTCCCTGCAGGAAGATCTTCCCTGGTGTCCACAATAATCCAGTTCTGAAGCAGAGCGGTCATGAACCTTCTTTGTGATATGTTTCATAGCTCTCAAATAGTCTTTTATATGCATGAAATAGAACGTAATAAAAAGTTTAATTGTGTTTATACCCAAGTTTACAGGCTGTTCCAAGGCCAAGTTGGCCTCGATGCCTCCATGATTACCTGAAGTTAGCATTTTCACAGCAGTCCCATCCCCTGCTTAAGGGGAGCTCTGGATCCTTGTGTCAACTCCATGGGGACCACGGGATACTCCAGTCATTTCCAGAAGAAGGCTGGCCATAGATAGGCAGGGAGGGGATGGATGCTAGCCAGCTCTCTGTATGGCTTTGAGTGTGGCCCTTGCCCTGTCTGGGTTTCAGTGTTCTCTCTGTATAGCAAGGGACTCCGGGTAGCTGGTGTCCAGGGTTTGATCAGACTTTGCCGTCTATGACAGAATAGGATAAGATAGTTTGCCCGCCTGTAAAGCAGGACTCACAACAGGCCATGTGAGGTCTGTAGGAGGCCACACACATCCAGGTTTAAACACAACTGGTTTAAACACAATAAAAACCACTGAAGAGATTAGGCATGATGGTGCATGTCTATAAACCAGCACTCATGAGGCTGAGGCAGGAGGATCTCCACTAGTTCAAGGTTGGTTTGGGCTACATAGTTAGTTCAAGACCAACCTAAACTACCTAGAGAGACACTGTCTCAGAAAACCAAACACTTCAAAGAACAAAGAAAAGAAAAGATCATGGAACAGAAAGAAGCCCTCTGTGGAAATAGCACGATTGGAGGCTGAAAGACTGAATTGGATGGAACCCTGGTTCCACTAGCCTTGGCCAGAGTTTCTGGAGTCCTTTCCGGGGCCTCTCACTGGGCTCTGCAATGATCGAAAACACAGAGCCCCCCAGGAGGACAGGGGAGGGGAACAGAGAAGAGAGAGAATGCCCCTTCAGTAACCAGGGCTATAATCCCCCAGACCCCTCCCCAGGGACAAAACCCCAATCTGCTGCATGTAGGGATCTGCCCGGGGCCCTCACCCAGGGTAGCCCTAATCTCAGACCATGCTCAGTGCCGGTTGAGCTCAGAGTCAGGGGCCGGACTGGGGGAGTGTGGATCAAAGGCAGAGAAAATTAGCATCATAGTGAGCCTAGAGGGGGAGAGAGGCGGGGATTAATTCACTCTCCCCTTCCTGCTGTCCCTTCAAAGCCTAGAGAGCCTGCCTCAGTTGGGGGAAGGGTCATCTCCCATCCCTAAACCCCAGTCACACACCTGAGGCCCACTTCTTATCCAGGAGGTAGGGTGGATGAGCGTAATGATTTGGGCAGCACCTGCTGGGAACATGGGAGCCACCATGCAGGGCTTGTGAAGCCACTGGCTCAAATGACTAAGACTCGCAACTGCAGAGCTGGGGCTCTGTCTGCAGAGGCTGGAGCCTGGGCTCACTGGGCCATGGGGGTGTCCTCCTGGGGGCCCACAGTCCCTGAAGTGTCATTTTGGATACACAGGAGTGCGTGTGTGCATATGTGTGTGTGTGTGTGTGTGTGTGTGTGACTGTGGGCACTGGATATGTGTAGGGATGAGGTGTGTCTATGGGTGTGGAAGGTGTTGTAGCAGCGCTGGGCACACGAGGAGGGCTCTCCAAGGACTCTTCAGCAGTATCTGGGAGGGACGTGGCTGTGGCAAAAGGAGGTGGCCAGAAGACTGGGATTCAGCCCAGAGCAGTCCCTACAGAAGCCAGTGTTGCTGGACCAGCCCAGAAGTGCAGGAAAAAAGGCATGTGGTACTGATGCCATGGGGGCCAGCTAGGCAGGCTTGGCACTCACTGGCCAGAGCCCTCCATGTATGCTCAGGGCTGCAGGGAAGGCTCACTGCAAGCACCTTGTCTCGGATGAAGAAACTGAGGCTCCTCTCAGCGCCCCTCTCCCTATCTCCCCACCAAGCACCTGCCACGCTGCCTCCTGCCCCAGGAGCATCAGACACAAACCTCTTACAACCCCACTTCTTCCCTCCACTGCCTCTTCATGCCTGATCTGCAGAAAAGGAGACGGCTGAGAGAGGCTGAGAGAGAGGTCAGGGAACAATCTGGCCCGGGAGTTAGCTAGCCAACTCTCAGTCTTTTGGCCTCCAAAGCCCCTGAACTGGTCTCAACCCAGCCATTCCTGGGTCACAGGCTGTCAATCAGCAAGCCCCTCCCCCAGTGCCCAGCTTCTGGTCCGTGCCACCCACCAGAGGGTGTGACCAGGCCTGGCCTGACACCTTGATAGCTCTCATGTGCCCCACCTACCTCAATAGCTTTGTTCAGGTTGGTCTCTCTGTGCTGTCCACCCTGCTCCAAACTCTCATTTGTCAAGGCCAACCACAAATGCCACCTCTTCCCACAAATGGCCTCTCTGTCCCCTGCCTCCAGGAACCTGGAGACATTGTGCTCTTTGGTACAAACCACTTCAACTTTGGGGAGGTCCTAGAGGGCAGACCAGGGTCAGGATGGGTCAGGATGAGGAACAGGACTGCAAAGACCGCAACCCCTCTACCACTGTACAAACCACCTTGCGCACATGACATCGAGTTCAATAACGAAGGCTGTGCAACCAATTTCCCTGTATTTGAATCTCAGCTCTTCCACTTGGGCTTGCTACTTACCCCTCTACCTTGCCATTTATCTATGGAAATAATACTATAGCTCCATTTTTGCAAGGATGAGAAGTGTTAGCCTATGTAAGTTTTTAGAACAGTACTCTCTACATAGCAATGCCATAAACTTTTGTCACTATAAATATTGTTATGGTTTTTACAGAAGCCTACAAAGAGGTAATCTGTTCCCAAGGGGAGTGGAGTCCACACAGGAACAGGAAAGGGAGTTCAACATTTCTAGTCATATTTAATGGCGAAAATCATCTTGGGAGGAGTTACCAGCGGTCCCACTTTACAGATAAGAAAACTGAGATTTGCAAAGGTAGTGTGAGCTCCCTGAGTGCCTGCAGAGCTGGGATGCAGGGAGCCAGGTCATGCGGCTCCAAAGTCCAAGCTCTTTCAACAAGCCAGTGCTGCCTCTCTGTCTGGCAGGGAGATAAGGCCTGTACACAAATAGCTGTAATCCAAGGTAGAGAGTGATAAGTACCAAGTTGATAAGGTTGGGGAGGCGGAGCCTGCAACTGCAGGACAGAAAAGGGTGCAGGTCAGGTCAGGCTTGGGGAGGACTGGTGTCTGATTCCGTCCTGGAAGGTGCAGGCAGGGAGAGAACGAGCTGGGAGCTGAGATTTGGTCCCTGTTGCTATAGGAAACTGTAGTGTCACTAAAGCCAATGCATACTTAGGAGAGAAGGGGAAGAGGAGAGGAGGTGGAGAGGCCAAGCAGGAGGGTGGGTCTGCCCTGTGTCCACTGGGCCCAGGACCATCTCCATCACAAGGGAACCTCTGAAGGTTTTCAGAGCTCAGTCCTCCTTCAGGCCTGAGCGCCTGGCCAATCAGTGTTGCACTCCATACTGGTAAGAACTTTCCAGTGAGTAAAGCCGGATGAGGCTTCTCTGTGGGCCAGGGCAGTCAGTCGTGGGTTGCAGCCTGCTTGGACCGGCTCCTAAGAGCTGACTCAAATTTTCAGGAAGTGTGAGAGGGTTGATGTTAGACTGGCAGCTTGAAATGGGCTGCGGTGGGCGTATTTACACGATGGAAATCAGCAAATACTCCCAATCAGGTTCTCCCTGCTTTGGAGAGCCAGATGTTAAACATTTACCAGCACACCACTACGCAGAGAGAGGTCTGCAGTGTGGAGGAGCCAGGAGTGACCCATCTCAGGAAGCGCACAAGCAATGCTGGGCACTTTGCCGGAGCACCGAGGCACTGAGGCTAAGGGGGTTTTGCTTAGTGAGGGGCTCAGCTCAGGCGACCTCGGAAGCCCCATTTCCAGCTCCCAGTGCCTATGAAAAGTTGGGTCTAAGAAAACACTAAATCAGGGTAATTATTTATGCCAAGAAATCATTAACCACTTGACCCAGAAGATGGGAGTTGGGCAGGAACCTGAGGAAACATGTAAGGAGCCACTTGTGATTTCACAGATGGGAAACCTTGCCATGCAGGGCCAGTGAGGGGCAATACAGGGACCACAGACCCTTTCTCCAGCCCCTGAGCCGTGGGCTTTTCAAGGGCATAGGGACTGCATGCTGCCTATAGGGTGGGAAGACTTTTCTACACAAGGTCTGTCTCATCCACCAAACACAGGTACCGGGCAGCATGAACTGGATCTGCTTCTTCATGGTTGAACACCCAAGGCCAAGGTTTGTGCTTGGCACACAGCTTGTGTTTAACAAATATTTGTTGACTGAATCAATGTGTCTGAGACACCGTCTTCTGGTAGCATGCAGGGGCTGGGAATGCTGTCTTCTGTGGCCATTGATACTTGTGTTTCTGTTCCCATTTGTGGCATGGAATTGAGAGATCAGGGTTCAAATGCCAACTCTGCTCCGTGCTGGTATAACCTTATCCAGACCGCCAGGCTTTTGGAAGCTCGGTTTCTTTCTCTACAAAGTGGACTGTGCAGTGCGCAAATCCACATCTTCTTGAGGCTGTTGTGGGACTCACATGTGACATAAAGCACTTTTTTTTAAAACAGACTCTAATGTGCTATTTCCATAGGAGGGAGGAGACAGCTTGGAAAGCTACCTTTGGCAGCCAGCCCCACCCAAGGGCTCTTGGTGGATACTGGTCAGTGGGCAGCATGTGGCCCCCTTAGGGCTGTTTGGAGAAATCTGGCTCAAACCAGCTCATGTCTAGGCACCTGGGATCCAGGGCAGACAGAACTCCCAGAGGACAGGGAGGAGAGGATGCAATAGGGTGGCATGGGAGCCAGGCATTGTGGCACATGCCTGTAAGCCCAGCACTCAGGAGGCTGAAGCAGGAGGATCACCAGGAGTTCTAGTACAGCCTGAAGTACATAGTGAGTTGAAGGCCAGGCTGAACTATACAGGGAAACACTGTCTCAAAAAACCAAAACCAACCAAACCAAAAAAGATGGCATAGGAGACTTTGGGGGAACTCTTTCCTTCTAAGACTAAAGACAGAGAACGAACTGGGAAATTTTCAAATCACTTTTGTCTCTGAGTGACTTTAAAGTACTGTGTTTTCATCTTTGTAGAGCTGGTCATCAGTCCACAGTCCCTACTGTGACGGCCTTCACACGTGAGGGAAGGGCTGGTGCCTAGTAGCAGGGTGAGACATCCTCCAGTCCATCCCAGAAGCAAAGCAGCGACTCCATGGAGAAGGCACCTGTGCAAATTCTCCAGGCAGGCATTGCAGTCCTCACCTGGTAGGGTGGGCACCAGGCTGGCAGGGAGGAAGCCCAGCTTGCCTCAGGCAATGAGTTGGTAAGGAAGGAAAGCATGGCAGGGTGCTAGCAGCACCTGGATTTACCAAAGTTGTTGAGGGTCGTGCGAGACTGGGCACTGGGACCAGAGAGGCAGGTGGAGGGCTTCCACCGAGGGGCCACAGTGGGGAGCAAAACAGAAAGGCCCTGTGTCAGCAGCTGGGCCCCTGGGTGGCAGGCTCCTGCTCCATTCTCTTCTGCAGGATTCTGGTTGGCACCAGCTGTGGATGGGAACAATGCCTGGATTTCTTTCTTTCTTTCTTCTCTCTCTTTTTCCTTTTTTCTATTTTAATGGGGGGTGGGTGGGAAGTCACTCATTGAACAGCTCAGCATCCTGGAGGCATCTGGCATTGTGTGTCCTTGAAAAAAAAAGCAGTTTCAGGGGCTCCACAGCTGGCTACAAGGTACAGGAAGCCACACCAGGGTGGGGGCCCTAGTCCTAGCCCGCTCTTACTCTGTGACCATGGGCAGGTCTGTGCCCCAGTCTGGTCTGCTGCCCCACGGCCTCCACAAGAGTCTGTCTTTTAGGCTCACACAAGGTTGCCACTTCTCTTTCTCTGCTCTTACAGTGGCATTTGATGGGGATCGTTCCTCCTGGGGGCTTGGGCATCCACCCTTGTGTGCCCCTACCACATGTGACTATCTGTCAGCCCCTGGGTGCTCTACTGTGTGACTGGGTGCTCTACTGGTGAGGGAGTAGTGGGTCATTCTGTATCCTGCAGCTCACATTGAGGTATCCTGGGCAAATCAAATTCCCCAGGCCTCAGTTTCCTTAGCTCTATAATGGACTGGTTAATACCCACAGCTCAGATGAGGGTAAGAAAATCTCAAATGGTTGAGCTACCTAGGGCCTGGCACAAGTTATTACATGGTAAATGGGCAGGAGACAGGGCCAGTGGCACCCAGAGTCAGGAGGCGGCGAGCAGTAGGTCTGGCCAAGACACCTGGACAGGCTCCCAGGCAGGTGGCTATGGCTATGGCCTTGAAGGTTAGGAGGGGTGTGTTCCAGGAGGCAGGAAGGAATGTGCACAGAATGCTAGCTAGCAATTCTAGAGGCCACCGAGTGTGGCAAAGGGACAAGGTCAGAGCAAGGGGGCACCAGCCCCGAGGCCAGCAGCCTACAGGTTGGAGCAATGCTGAGGGGCAGGAGGCGCAGTCTTCTGTGTGCCCTCCCAGCCTGCTGCACTGAATACTCTATGCATGGCTCTCAGGGCCAGGACAGGGTACTCATGAGGATACGGAGGGAACTCTTAGGCAGCGCTGGCACTGCCTAGCTGCATGGCTCTGGGAAAGCCACCCCCTCCCTTTAGCACTATTTAATCACCCATAAAAGTGCTATTGTGTGGCTCAGAGGATGAGAATTGCCCTGTGAGCAAGGGTTACTACTTCTTCAGCTCTGGATGTCCCCTGTCTTGGGCAGCTCCACCCTATGTCTATCAGTGGGTGTGGGGGCTTGAGCTAGATGGGAAACCAGGAGCAGGAAGAACAGAGCTTAAAGGTGGAGAGTGAGACACTGGCCCAAGAGAAGGGTGCTGGAGAGTCATGGCCAAGTGCTGGACTGAGAAAGGAGGGACAATCCTATTGGAACAAGATGAGAAGGAAGAGGCAGGACCCCAACAAAGACACAGCCCCTCTCTGCTGTACTTGACCACTCACCTCCAGGAGGCTCAGGCTCAAAGTTGCACAGTGCCCAGTGCTTCCTGGATCCACCAAGGGGTGAAGGTTAAATGCATTCTCTGTCACATCACTGCCATGGAAAGGGCTCCCAACTTTCCTGGGAGGTGGATGATGGTCTTTATCTCAAAGTACCTGCAGGCTACCTCATTTCTACTGTGGCTGGCAACAAGATGAGGGCAAAAATACATATTCTACTCCCCAGGAACAGCTGGACCTAAAGCCCAGTGCTGGTGTCATGGAGCCTCTGAGCATCTTCCTGCAGTCACAGTGACACCTGGCTTGTGGCACATACGGAAGAAGGTTTTTCCAGTACCTGACTCACAGTGGGCTCTCCATACATGTGACTTTCCTTCCACCTCCCTGCGACTGAATGAGACATCCCCTGGCTCCTATTAAGGGTGAGGGGTGGAAGTCCTTGGGAGGAGGAACTGGCCATATACATACCGCACCTGTCCTCATCCCCCAGCCCACCAAGGATCTCCTGGCCCAGCTGGCCCCACTCACTGCACTCTGTACATGTCTTCTGTGTACCCAGGGGCCTGAATCCTCCCAGTCTTTGAGCCTGTGACTTTGGCTTCCTGAGACCTGGGTCCTGCTCTCAGTCATGGCCTCTTTGTTCTGATAATGGCTCCCAGAGAGGGGAAATGTATAGCACCAGTCTGTGGGGGAAGGTGGGTGTAAGCTAAGATTCTGCAAGAGCACCCAAAGACTGGGCTCATGTAACCCACACCCCTATAATAGGCCCTAAAGCTACCTCTGGATCCAGGTGATGCCTGGCCAGCCTTGGCAGAACAGGATAATCTTCCATGTCCCAGGGCTGGGACACAAAGATACTTTCATCTCTGCCTCAGTCCAGACTTCCTGGACCAGCAAGGCTGAGGCAGAGAGACACACAGTTCTCAGGAAGACTTCACTGGCAGGGAACCTTGCCCTTAAAGCTAACAAAGGCCCAGAGAGGGAAAGCCAGTTGTTTGGGGCCACATATGAGTCCATGGATACAGATACAGAGCTGAGCTGCAGCCAGCAGGAAACTGGTAGCAAGGGCCTGAGTCTGCATCTGGACCCAGTGTGCACTTGTTAAATACACAGCTCCAATTCCTTAAGCTACTGCCCAAGACACCCTCCCCACAATCCTCAGTGCCTACAGTGTACTGTTGTGCAAGACCCCAGAGGGATCTGACCCCCACTGATTTCCCTGGAAGATGTCAAGAGATAGTGGAGTCCTCCAAGAGCAAGGAGTGGGGCCCAGGGTCTCCAGAAAAGCCTGGCAGGGTTTATCAGATTTGCTGCTTCAAGTGCCCTGCTGCACATCTAGGAAGAGCTGGCCTCGTTCCTGGCTCTGGCTGCTAAGGCTTCATTCTTCTTGGCTCCTCTGTGGCCACTTCCTGATTCTCCAGGTATAACTACTGTCCGGAAGCTTCTGGGCAGGAGCTTTTGAACATGAGTGGTCACCCTGAGGGATTTGGACAGAAGGCTGAGAGGACCAAGTGTCCTAACCTGGCACCAGCAACGCAACAGGAATTGGCCCAGTTGCTGGCTGGGCTGGTTCCATGCATCCCAAATCCTGCAATGCTCAGAAACTCCACTGTGGGATTTTGGACCTGGGGGTGGGTTGGCTTTCTGCTCATTGCAATGGTGTAGGATGCTGCGGTTGGGAGAGCTGTAGGTCTAGCCACCAGGCAGCAAGCTCAATTTCCACCTTCAAGGCTTTCTCAGGCTGCCCTCTGGCCACCTGTGAACTTGGGCCACCCACAGGCTGTGAAGCAGGGACTCCCTCCCACAGGAATTTGCTGGGATTGTGCCTCCTGGTGTCCCTGGAGGTCAGGAAGTGACTGCACACCACCCACTCTCCCCAGAGATACCCAGCTGTCACCTGTGGTGGGTGGGGGAGCAGCGGCAGTAACAGTCCATTCCTTGTGTGCCGGATCAGATCGGAAGACGGGGAGGCTGCAAAGGAGCACCTTCCCTAGCGCCCAGTGGCAGGATAAGGCAGGGCTTCCCCTGGGAAAATCAAACAGGTTCCCCACCCGCACACAGACACATCAAGTCCCTGGGGCCCCGAGCTGCAGCCTCGGAGCCCTCATGAATTCCAGGCTGAGTTCACCGGCTGTCAGACTACCAGAGCCTTGGGAATGAATTCATGTTGCCTCCTCTCTCCCGCCGGTGGAAGGAGTGATCTCTCCAGCCCTGAAGGAGTTCAAGCCGAGGTCAGAGCGGCCCTCAGAAGAATGTTCTAAAATAGGGGTCTGTGCTGGCTGAAGGACTCTAGCCTTCCACTCCCCCACCCCCTCCCCCGGCTCCAAGCTCTCTCGGATCAGCGCCCACGAGGCCTCGGCAGCCCTAGAGTCTGCGTGGCACGTCGGCGCTCCCATGCGGACCTCGTCAATCAGGCAGCGGCCAGGACTTCTTCCGCCCGCCCGGCCTCGGGGGAGACTCCCGCCCGTGCCGCCTCCCGGTGCCCGCCCCCAGCGGTGTCATTGTTCTCTGACGTCACGCCGCGGCCCCGCCCCTCGCCCCCCACCTTCCCTCCCCACCGCCGGCTCCCGGCGCCCGCGACCCTGCAGCCTCCGACCCCCCGGGCGGTGCAGGGCTCCCCCCGCGGCCCGGCCAGGGCTGCGCCCCCTTGCGCTCTCCCCAACTTGCCTTTGTTATTCCAGCTCCCTTCCTCGCCTCGCCTCCGACACCGCGGCGGTCTGCAAAACGCGGAGCGCGGAACTACTTCTACACCTGGATGGCGAAGCGGGCTTCAGGCCCAACCTTCCCCGCCTGTCTGCCCTGAGGGGAGCGCGTGCGCGCGCGCGTGTGTGTGTCCAACCCAGGCGCTGATTATACCGGGCAATGGAAGTGCCGCCCATCAAGGGTGGGGTGTCCCGAGGAAGAGCTGTGGAAGAGGTGTATGGGGGAGGCGCGTGTGTATATGAACGTGAGATTTCGTGCACAGGGAGTGTTTTGAGTGTGCGTGGGGTTGTGTGCAGTGATGTTTGCAAGTTTATGTACAGCTGCGTGTCTGAGTGTGCTCACTGTGATTGTGCGCGGGCGTGTTTGTGAGGGAAAGTGTGAGTGTGTGAGTGCGTTTGTGTGCGGGGAGTTGCATGTTTGCAGAGTTGAAGGTGGGCGCAAATGTGTGTGCCGTTTGTGTAGGAGTTTTTGTGCGTGTGGCAGTGGACGTGAGCCAGAGTGGGCGTGCACTAGGACGCTCTTGGAGGCGGGCTGCGAGGGGAACCCCAGGAGTAGGCTCATGATTGCCTTGGCTCCTTGCCTTCCCTGCGACTGTGCCCAGACCTGGGTGGAGGTCGGGTCTGCCACCCCCAGGTCGCCGGCGCGCACGACGCCCCTGGCCCTGCCCGCAAGGCCTCGGAGCACCCACTCGTCCAGGACTGACTCGGGTGCCCCGACTCGCGATGTACGTCTCACCCAACTAGCTCCTCCCGGCCGTCGAGGGGAGCGCGCTCTAGCCTCTCATCGCCTTGGGTGGCGACCCTCTTCCCATCCCCTAGGGCCTTGATGTTGGGAACTAACCCAAAGTCTCCTCAAAGAAGGCTTTAGAGATCTTGTTAGCAACTCGCCCATACCACTTCAGGTGCCTGACAGCGCCCGCGGCCCGGGGTGCACTCCAGGCGGGGGCGTGCGAGTGCGCGCAGGGGCGGCGTGCGCCTGGCGAGCTGGTGACTTTGGAGTCCTCCCCAACGCGATCCTAGGCTCAAAATTTTTCCCCTTCTCCAAACTTACTGGGGCGGGGGTGTGTGTGTGGGGCGTGTGCGAGCAGAGTCGGGAGGGAAGAGAACTCGGGTGGGGGAGGCCGAGTGGACTAGCGGCGTGGGGGGGAGTGACGCGGAGCCGTCAGTGCCAAGTGAGGAAAAGCTTGTGGAGCGTTGAGCCAAGGGTGTAAGGAAGAAAGCGAGGAAAGACCAGGAGAGGCGGAAAGGAAGGGAAAGAAAGAGCGCGGCGAGAGCGCAGAGAGAGCGCGAGCCACGGTGAAAGGAGCAGAGCGCTAGCTGCGGCTCGGCGCTCCGCTCCGGCTGTGTTCCGTGCCGGCTTTTGCGTGCGGCCGGCGGCGCGGGGCCCTTTGGAAATAGAATAGCCAATGTAATCTGACACTTCAACTTGCTCGGCTCTGGGCGAGTTGATTCACTTACTCACCCCCTAACGCCGAGTTCCTTTTCACTGTCTGTGGACATTAAAAAAGCGAGCGGCGGCGGCGGGCGCCCGGGAGAGCCAGCGGCCGGGCGGCGAGCAGCGATCGGCGACCAGGCGGGCTAGCAGCGCCGGCGCAGCGCGGTGACCCCGGCCCCGGCCGGCGCGGAGCGGAGCAGGGGCCGAGCCGAGCCGAGCCGAGCCGAGCTGCGCGATCCCGGCGCCCTCACCGCGCTCCTCCCGGCCCCAGCCGGCCCTGGCCGGCAGCGGCGCGTCCTCCAGCGGCGGCAGCGGTGCTCGCAGCGCCGGGTAAGTTTGGGGACAGAGCCAGGAGCCCGTTAGCCCCGAGGCTTTCTTCCGCTCCTCGCAGGTTCTGGGGTGCGAGCTTGGCGTGCTGAGCGCTGGGGCTTTTCCCTTCAAGGGTCCTTCGGGTCGGGCGGGTGGCCCGCAGCGCAGTTCCCTGCTTTCCCCGCGTTGGCCGGGGGCGGAGGCCCGGGCAGCTGCCTGGCGAGCGCCCGGCTGCGCGGAGCCGGCTCTGGCTGCGCGCGGGGGCCGAAGCTCCGGGCGTGCGGAGCGCGAGTGTGGTCAGCAGTGCGCGCGCGGACCGAGCCCGCCTTATGCCTCTCGCCGGTGCTCCTCCAGCCCTAGCTTAGAACCGTGGGGACCGGGCCGGACCGGGCTCCGAAGGAAGGAGTAAGGAAGGCCGAGGAAGGACGAGCTCGGACTCCTTCACCTCCTTTGGAGCGATTTGAAGTTGTGCTTCTGTGTGCGTACTGCGACCGCCGGGAAGGCGCGGAATTTCAGGGTGGCGAGGGATGGTGGTGTTAAGTTGTGCATCTGAATTTCTAGGGAAAACATACACTTTTGTAAATGGGAGGTGGGGGCGCGGTTAAGTTGTTTGTGTGGGAATCGCTTGGGGAAGCGCGGCGCGCTGTGCGGGGCAGGGAGCGCCGAGGGGTGTGTGGAGGTGGAGGGGGTGCTAGTAAGGGTTTTGGAAACCTGAGGGCTTTCTGGCCCACCCCTGATCGGGGCTGCCCCAGCTAGGAGAAGCGGAGGGAAGATGTGCATGTGCATGTGTGTGTGTGTGCGCGCGCGTTGCAAATACGAAAGTAATTTCCCCGTGTTCTTTCTTCCTCTCGGTCTCTGGCGACGGTGGCCCCCGGGGAGTGGGAGGCTGGTCCCGAGGCGGAGGTTTTGGGGCCGGACCCGGGCTGGTGCTGGGGTCGTAGATGGGGCGGGCTCAGGATGCTTGTCTCACATTCCTAGCGTCTGCGTTGGAGAGAGAAAACAGTGGGGAGCGCGGCCTCGGCGTCAGGGGCGCAGGCAGCGGGCGCGCATCGCCCCCTCGCAGGGGACATCTGTCCAGGAAGCCGGCCGGGCAGCGAGAGGGCGCGGTGCGGAGGGCAGGCTCCCCGCCCTGAAACGGTGGGGGCGCGGGCGAGGGGCGGCCGTCTTCTCGGCCATTGTGCGCCAGCAGATTTTCACGGGAGACTGCCCCGGAGCCGCCGGAGAAGGCCGGGAGCCGGCCTCAGCCCGGGGTTTAAAAGACACTCCAGGAATGTAAACAACCCAGGCGGGAGGGCGGGCGCAAGGGAGCGCGCCGGGGCCGCCACTGGCCTGGCCCCCCACCCCTTCCCGGGGGACAGCCCGGAGGCAAGACCGCCCAGCCTGACCCCCTCTACCTGTCTCAAACTTTTCCCTTGTAAACCCTCCTGTTCCACCTCACCCTCTCCAGCTGGGCGCAGAGCGAGTAAAGCCCGGCTTCAAGGCTTCAGGTACCCCGCGCTGACCGGGAAGGCCTGGCGGCCGGATCTCTGCTTGGGTGACGGGAGCTGGGGCTGCTCAGTCCGAGAGCAGCAGCTTACTAGGCAGGCAGTGCCCGAGTAACTGGGGCTCCGCGCCTGCCCGCCTGCTTCCTTCCCCCCTCCCCCTTCCCTCCCGCCGCTGCTTCCCCCGCTCTCCCCCTTCCCCTCTCCCCTGACTGCTTTTCCAATGCCCTGACATGAGGGAGGAAGATTTAACTTGGCAGCCCAACAAATGTTCTCTCTGAGGTCCTCCAAGAAGCTGGCGGCTGGGCTGGCGGGGTGAGGGCAGCGCTCGGGCCAGCCAGTCCCTCCTCTCAGTGCTGCCTGGGGATTTGGAGACCCCTGGTCGGACACCCAGGGCTTAGGGCTGTCGTGCCCAGCCCTGGAGATTTGGAAGGGCATTGGGCAGTGCAGAAGTCCTGGCGGGGAGCTGCACGCAGCCAAGGGTTTTCTGAAGGGTTTCCTTGAGCAACAGTTTGCCTCCTGCTGCAACCTGGGAACCCGGCCTGGTACACCAGAGGGTTAACTAGTGCAGTCTCCTCCTCTGCCGGCTGTGGGTGTGAGGACAGGCTGGTTACACAGGGCAGGGCAGGAGGCCAGAGGCTGTTCCCAGAGGTGCCTGGGTTTGCTTATTGTTTTTGTGAAGGAACAGATAAAGGGGCAGGCGGAGGGGCTGGAGAACTGGGCTGCTTGGCTCCTGATGAATTTCAGCCTGCCTCCTCCTGCCTTTGCCTGGGCCAGGAAGGGAAAAGTTGCTTGTATGAGCTCTGGGAAGTTTAGAGGAGGGAACAAATCCCCGCCTTTCTCCGACCTGGGGGCTTTTTGAGGAGGGTCCCAAGTAGGAAGGATTCCTGGCCTTGGGGCCTGTGAACACCCGGAGTTGTGCTGACCTTTCCCTCTTCAAGTTGAGGATGTTGAAACACCAGCATGAAACAAAAGACACATTGAAAGCCCCATCTGCCACGGAGCACGTGTGGCTTTGGGGTGCTGTGGACGCTCTTAGAGAGAAGTGGTGTGTTCTTGCAAGTTTTATGATTTGGAGTTTTTTGTCTTTTGGGTTTTTTTTGTTTTGTTTTTTCTTTTCTCCCCAAAGTGCAAAGGCATCTCCTTGTCTGGAAGTGTCAGGAGGTTATGAAATGTTGTTTTCACATGTAAATCTCAAAAGTTGACACTCAGGTGGGCTTATTGGAGGCAGTGGCTGAGGGGGAGGAGCTAGAGAGGCTCTAGGAGTTGGGCTGGGGTTTGAGGCTCCTGAAGAGTGGGGAGAGAAATAGATGGACTTAGGAAATCCTTGAATAAACTGCCTTGTCTGTGTAGAAGAGAGTGACTGTCTTCTTCATGGGGAACTGGATGTCCCTTTTAGCTCCTAAGGAAAGCAGAGCAAAGCAAAGACAGGCCCAGAAATGGGGTTTTGGCCAGTGATCACACACCTGCTCTCTGTCTCTGTCTCTCTCTGTCTCTCTCTCTCTGTCTCTCTCTCTCTCTCTCTCTCTCTCTCTCTCTCTCTCTCTATCATACACACTTCTCTAGCTGCAACAATGACAGCATTATCTCCATCCCCGACCCCCATTGAGATGACCCAACATAGGGACACAGGTGACCAC